GTTTGAATGAAAGCAGCCCCCATAAACTCAAAGGAAGTGGCACTATTGGGAGTTGTAGCCTCATTGGAGTAGGTGGGGCCTTGTAGGAAATGGGTCCCTGGAGGTGGACTTTGAAGTTTCATATGCTCAAGCCATGTGAGTGTCAGTTTCTCTTCCTGCTGCCTGCTGATCTAGATGTAGAACTCTCACCTACTTCTTCAGTATCATGTCTTCCTGCAAGCCACGATGACTCCTTCTATGAAAATAATGGACTAAAGCTGTAAACCTGCAAACCAGGTCCAAATAAATGTTTTCCTTTGTAAGAGTTGCTGTGGTCGTGGTGTCTATTCACAGTAATAAACCATATCTGAAACATTCTGTAAAAGCATACACTTCCTGAAATAATGGTAGCTATAATGTACACATGAAAGAAAATAAAATTAATAATAAAGTGCCTATGGCATTTCCACACTGTCATTTTAAAATGATGGATAAAGAGAGAACAAGATGGTGGAGACAAGCAGACGCAGGTAGGCCTGTGGCGGCGGCCCATGGAGGTGGAAGGGCCCGGTGGTGGCAGCTGACAGGGACATTCAGGCCCAGAGGCAGCCAGCAGAGACATTCAGGCCCAGTGGCGGCCCACAGAGGTGGACAGGCCACGCCACGTGGCGGAGACAGGCGGACACAGGTGGGTCCACGGCGGCGACCCGGAGAGGTGGACGGGCCCAGTGGCAGCGGCCGACAGGGACATACAGGTCCAGCAGCAGCCAGCAGAGACATACAGGCCCATTGGCGGCCTGCAGAGGCAGACAGACCCAGCGGCAGCTGACAGGGACATACGGGCCCGGCGGCGGAGACGGGCTGACACAGGTGGGCCTGTGGCGGTGGCCACAGGGGTGGACAGGCCCGAGGACGGAGACGGGCGGACACAGCTTGGAACGGGGACGCCCCTAGCCCCAACACCTGGGGAAGAGGCTATCTCCGTGAGTCAGAACCAGGGGGAGTCTGGGCACTCCATCTGGGGACAACCCAGAGCCCAACTGCTGATCCTGTGAAACCCAACAACTTGGAGGTGTTGGTGAGACTACCCTGCTCAGCTGA